CAGGAATGCTGTTTTCTGTAAGTATAACTTGCCTAGGTATGGTCAGAGAAGTTTTAGGAATAATAAAATTTGTTTCATCATTTTTTTCTACATTTTTGGTAGTATGGAAACATTAAACAATAAAGCTTGGTTGAATGTTCCTGTAAATACCCACTACAATTTATGAAGTTTGTATTTTTGTATAATCATGAATAACATTAGGATGATTTTATTTGGATGTTCTCAATTTAATAGGGCATTATGGAGGAAGAAAGAAGGTGGTCTGATTTTCAGCCCTGGGTATTTTTGGGGTGGTGGGGGAGGGTGAGAGGTGGTTATGTAAACTTAAGAAGTTGTTATATAATCAATATTTTGCACAAGGAAGGTTTCATAAATCTATTTTCCTTGATATAATGAACAACAAAAATCCTCCACATCATTGCTTTAGGAAAGGTAGAAAAATGTTTTCCAGCTTGATTCATGTTTTCAAAGTAGTTATGATTAACGTTTAAAAATCAATGGCTTCATTTTCTATTACCCTAATGGAACTTAATATTTGTACTTCTCTCACTTTGATTCTTGAATGGGTATTTCAAGTACAGCTTGCCTTTCTTTCTTTGTTACCCCAAATTCCTTTGCAGATGCAATAATGACAGGTAGTTCCAAGCTTCATGGGGTGTAATGTGATGAAAACTGTGAGGATGCTGTTGCCAAACCCCCCAGTCTCTGGAATTAGTCACAATCAAGAAGGCATAATGCACTCCATACTACAGTGGTCTACTCTTAGGCAATGTTTCCCCTAAACTGTAGTAAATCTTTGAGTTTCTTCATGGATCTAACTTGAGTAATTGTGCTGATGGCCTCATGGCTAAGGGCACAGGCTCTGGAGTTAGTTTGTCTTAGCTTTCAAACCCCTTCCCTGCTATTTACTAACTGTGTGATTTCTGGTAAGTGATCTGCCCTTTTCTGAGCTCAGTTGCCTCATCTGTAAAAAGGGGATAATTATAATATTTCCCTCATAGGGCTGTAGAAAGGATTAAAGGGCTGTATAAAGGAGAAATACATACATGGCTAATAAAAGAGTTTCTGGTGCATTTTAAATAAGATTAGTTGGAAGTCTACTGAGAAGTTTGCATTTCCCTCCATTTTTAGCTTCCTGTTCCTGCTTTTTACATTTGGCTATATTGAGTTACACTAGGGAATGTTGCTTAAAGCATTAAAATAGAAAATAGTGAAATAGGGCAGAATAAATCTCATGGCAGAAATACATTTTAAATTTGTAAGGAAAAAGTATAATTTAAAAATCATGGGTGGGAAAAATATATAGAGGGAGAAAGAAACAGAAAAAAATAATCTGACACCTGATAACACGATCTAAATTGCTCTTGTTATGTCCTATAAGAGGCAGTCCATGTGACTGGCTCATCAAAGTTCTCAATGAAAACCAATTCCTTACGTACATACCCTGTGAATTCTCTTTACCATAAAGTAAGACCCTGAAAATAAGAAACTGAGTTTGATCATATAACTATTATGCATGCAATGGTATCTCTCATTCCATGGGCACAAGCTCATTCCAGGGGCACAAGCTGACTGTGGAGCTGTCGTTTTTATATTACTCTCTAAGGCCAAGCATGCAATGAATATACAGTTAACTGTAACTTACCTTCTCAGCATGAATCTGCCATAGCTCTAACACTTAAAATATTTTCACCTACTTCACATTGAGATTGAACTATAATCACACCGAGGTGGTTTTTCTCTACATTCTTTTACTAGAGAAACTTCTCTTACTTATGGGTAATATGGCGATTTATAAATTTTATGAAATTTAGTGAATTTTTCTTCTGAACTAGAAAATATAGCATCTTTGATGAAATTTTAAACTTTAATGTTACATGGCATGTTATGACATTAAACAAGTACATGGGTTTCCAAGAACAGAATATTGTAAATTCCATCAGGTTCATAAAATCACAATATCAGAACTGGAAGTCTCCTTAATGATCTTCTAAAATAGAAAAGGTATGCCTCTTTTAATTAGTAGAGTCCTGTTCCAGTGGTTTTATGTTTTTAACACCTTTTAAAAAATTGTTATTTTTCTGGGGGTGAGGTGAGGATGAATGTCAGGTCATGCCCTCATAGCACCCCAAAGTCAAAACTCATGCTCCCCTCTCAAACCCATTGCCCTCCCCCATTACCCACCACCAGCTTCTGAAGTATCATTGCCCACCTATTTCAATGCAACAGTTTGAAACTCACTATTGAAATACAACTCTTCTTTTTAAAATCGAATAAAGCAAAGACCAGAAGAAATACTAACATTTTTTAAGGCAACATAATGATTTAGTAGCCGAGACTGTAATTTAGGTTTCCTGCCTTCCTGTTTTGAGTTTTGTAGTACAGTATATTCTCCTTTAATTTAAGTAACAGACCATGAGTTGGCGTCTGCTTAAAGTCTTGCTCAAGTTTCTAAAGGCTTATATTTCTATGAGTATACGAGAGATAAGGCACTGAGCTATACGTGGAATTAATTCCAAGCAGAGGCAGTTTTATACTTACTCTTGTATTGTTTCTTTCAGCTTTAAGTTCAGAAATTTCTTCTTCCTTTTCTAGAAGTTGTTCTCTGCAGGCATTTAATTCTTTTGTCAGTGCAGCAAATTCCTGAAAGAGGAATCAAAAATTTTGAAGACATATTCCAGATTAAGAAAATGTATTCCAGCAGGAAGAAAAAAAAAAAATCAAAATATAAACTTTTGAGTGTAGAGAATAGAAAACATGGCCTAGATGACTATACATTACTGTTATTTATATGTACATTGCTGTTATTAAATTAACGTGGTTCTAACTTTAAAAAATGCTAGTACAATGTACTTAACAAATACATATTATAATATGTTGCTCAGATGAGTGTATAAAATATATTTCAAAATGTATCAGATACATCATATTGAATTTAACATTAGTATGATAACATATTGATAATACAGAATAATTTAAATTCGGTTAATTTTGTGAACAACTCCAAAGATCTCATACTCTCGTTCCAGATAGCAATGTTTAGACTGAGCATACTACATCATAAGAAAAAACCAACAACCACACCAGCAATCAAAAAAAAAAATTCTTAAATATACTATTTAGAGATTAAGAAGTTTACTTATTTAATAGGAGGAAGAAAGAGAATGCACTTGTATCTTACAAAATAATAAACGTATCTAAGACTTGATAACATTATCTAAGATTCTCTTACTAATTTATGCATGTAGGCACAATAAAGTTTGCTTAAAAAGAAGGGTAAGACACTTAATTCAACTATTCCATTACTCCAACTTACAAACAAATATTTTAAAATAATTTTGAAAAATAGTAAATAGTAATAGATCCATATTAACATTAAATTCTTTACAGTGATTCTCAGTAATAAAATTGATGCTTGTCAAATGCATGTAAGTATTTGGGAAAATTTGGCACCAGGCTGGGAAAGCACTGTCAGAAGATCAAAAAGAAAAGCAAAATGAGGAGAAAGGTTTGGTTAACCTAATCTCCACAAAGGCAAATTTAGCAAAAAGTAAATGAATATGATGATTATGCAAAGCTGGGAAAGGTTTAGGGTTTATATTTTTGTTTGCTTCAAAACACTTATTGTGCTAAGTTTCTCTGAGTGGCTTCAAACCAAGTGGGTACTGCAAAGACCTCAGAGTAGACTTAGTGTAGAATCAAGATGAAAGAGTTCATTGTTACATTTGGCTGGCATTACAGATAAATGTTTTCTCCTCTGATTGGTGCCTGCTTAAATGTTGATATTATCTGAGTATATTATTTGAGTGGGGAATGGATATAAGCAACAAGTAAAAAACAATAAACATTTCCATAAAAAAATTTTCTTCATATAAATGGCATAGTTTTGATGGAGAAAAGAAGAAAGTAACAAAGATTCTGCATTGTATATTATTAACATATATATTTAAAATTAATCCTATACTCATATTATAAGGCAAAATATTAATCAAATCTGTACATTTAACATCATACCATTTTTAAACAAAACATGTATCTGGTTTATCTTTCTAGGGATTTAGCTTGCTATCTACAGAAAGAAAAAAAGATCAGAAGGAAATATTTCAGAATATTAACATTACATATTTCCAGGTGGTAAAATTATCAGCGAATTTTGTTTTTAGCTTTCTGCTATGTATTTGTCATCAAAACTTTCTATAATAGAGAAAAATGCTTTTATGCTTAGTGAAAAAAGAAAATATAAATCTGTAAGTGCACTGAAACAATCATGTATTCATAATCAACGACAGAAATTAGTCAAGATGTTATTGGTGACAGATGACTTTGCATTTTTAATTCACTATCATGGCACTGATTCTGAGCAAACTATTTAGTGACTCCATGTATTAAGATTAGTCTTACATTTATTAACTTTCTAGCAAATTTCAGGCACTATCTTCACATTCATTATTTCATCTTGCTCTCTAAATAAATAGTGAGGGAGTCTCATTCCCATTTTATGGCTGAGAAAACTGAATTACCAAGATATAAGTTGAAGTTCATGAAGGTCACAACCCATAGAGAGTGAATTATGCTGTGAACACAGTTCTCTAGACTGTGTGTCCAGTGCTTCTGCACTATACCATTTTGACCGAACTGTTCATCAGTTTTTGTTTTTTTTTTGTACAGCAGGTTCTTATTAGTTATCCATTTCATACATATTAGTGTATATATGTCAATCCCAATCTCCCAAATAATCCCACCACCAACCCCCCTGCTCCCGCCAGCCACTTTCCCCTCTTGGTGTCCATACGTTTGTTCTCTATTTCTGCCTTGCAAACTGGTTCATCTGTGCTATTTTTCTAGATTCCACATATATGCATTAATATACGATATTTGTTTTTCTCTTTCTGACTTACTTCACTCTGTATGACAGTCTCTAGGTCCATGAATGTCTCTACAAATGACCCAACTTCGTTCCTTTTTATGGCTGAGTAATATTCCATTGTATATATGTACCACATCTTCTTTATCCATTCATCTCTCGATGGGCATTTTGGTTGCTTCCATGTCCTGGCTATTGTAAATAGTGCTGCAATGAACATTGGGGGTGCCTGTGTTTTTTGAATTATGGTTTTCTCTGGGTATATGCCCAGTAGTGGGATTGCTGGGTCATATGGTAATTCTATTTTTAGTTTTTTAAGGAAGCTCTATACTGTTCTCCATAGTAGCTGTATCAATTTACATTCCCACCAACAGTGCAAGAGGGTTCCCTTTACTCCATACCCCCTCCAGCATTTATTCTTTGTAGGCTTCCTGATGATGCCCATTCTAGCTGTTGAGAGGTGATACCTCATTGTAGTTTTGACTTGCATTTATCTAATAATTAGTGATGCTGAGCAGCTTTTCATGTGCTTCTTGGCCATCAGTATGTATTCTTTGGAGAAATGTCTACTTAGGTCTTCTGCCCATTTTTGGATTGGGCTGTTTGTTTGTTAAATATTGAGCTGCATGAGCTGTTTATATAGTTTGGAGATTAATCCTTTGTCAGTTGATTCATTTGCAAATAGTTTCTCCCATTCTGAGGGTTGTCTTTTTGTCTTGTTTATGGTTTCCTTTGCTGTGCAAAAGCTTTTAAGTTTCATTAGGTCCCATTTGTTTATTTTTGTTTTTATTTCCATTCTTCAGGAGGTGGATCAAAAAAGATCTTGCTGTGATTTATGTCAAAGAGTGTTCTGCCTATATTTTCCCCTAAGAGTTTTATAGTGCCCAGTCTTAGATTTAGGTCTCTAATCCATTTTGAGTTTATTTACATGTATGGTGTCAGGGAGTGTTCTAATTTCATTCTTTTACATGTAGCCGTCCAGTTTTCCCAGCACCACTTATTGAAGAGACTGTCTTTTCTCCATTGTATATCCTTGCCTCCTTTCTCATAGATTAGTTGACCATAGGTGCGTGAGTTTATCTCTGGGCTTTCTATCCTGTTCCATTGATCTATATTTCTGTTTTTGTGCCAGTACCATATTGTCTTGATCACTGTAGCTTTGTAGTAGAGTCTGAAGTCAGGGAGTGTGATTCCTCCAGCTCCGTTTTTTTCCCTCAAGATTGCTTTGGCTATTCGGGGTCTTTTGTGTCTCCATACAAATTTTAAGCTTTCTTGTTCTAGTTCTGTAAAAAATGCCATTGGTAATTTGATAGGGATCACATTGAATCTGTAGATTGATTTGGGTAGTATAGTCATTTTCACAATATTGATTCTTCCAATCCAAGAACATGGTATATCTCTCCATCTGTTGGTATCACCTTTAATTTCTTTCATCAGTGTCTTACAGATTTCTGCATACAGGTCTTTTGTCTCCCTAGGTAGGTTTATTCCTAAGTATTTTATTCTTTTTGGTGCAATGGTAAATGGGAGTGTTTCCTTAATTTCTCTTTCAGATTTTTCATCATTAGTGTATAGGAATGCAAGAGATTTCTGTGCATTAATTTTGTATCCTGCAACTTTACCAAATTCATTGATTAGCTTTATTAGTTTCCTGGTGGCATCTTTAGGATTTTCTATGTATAGTATCATGTCATCTGCAAACAGGGACAGTTTTACTTCTTCTTTTCCAATTTGTATCCCTTTTATTTCTTTTTCTTCTCTGATTGCCATGGCTAGGGCTTCCAAAACTATGTTAAATAATAGTGGTGAGAGTGAATATCCTTGTGTTGCTCCTGATCTTAGAGGAAATGCTTAGTTTTTCACCACTGAGAATGATGTTTGCTGTGGGTTTGTCATATATGGCCTTTATCATGTTGAGGTAGGTTCCCTCTATGCCCACTTTCTGGAGAGTTGTTATCATAAGTCGGTGCTGAATTTTGTCGAAAGCTTTTTCTGCATCTATTGAGATGATCATATGGTTTTTATGCTTCAATTTGTTAATATGGTGTGTCACATTGATTGATTTGCATATATTGAAGAATCCTTGCATCCCTGGGATAAATCCCACTTGATCATGGTGTATGATCCTTTTAATGTGTTGTTGGATTCTGTTTGCTAGTATTTTGTTGAGGATATTTGCATCTATATTCATCAGTGATAATGGTCTGTAATTTTCTTTTTTTGTAGTATCTTTGTCTGGTTTGGGTATCAGGGTGATGGTGGCCTGATAGAATGAGTTTGGGAGTGTTCCTACCTCTGCAAATTTTGGAAGAGTTTGAGAAGAATGGGTGTTAGCTCTTTCCTAAATGTTTGATAGAATTCACCTGTGAAGCCATCTGGTCCTGGAGTTTTCTTTGTTGGAAGATTTTTAATCAGTTTCAATTTCATTACTTGTGATTGGTCTATTCATATTTTCTATTTCTTCCTGGTTCAGTCTTCCAAGGTTATACTTTTCTAAGAATTTGTCCATTTCTTCCAGGTTGTCCATTTTATTGGCATAGAGTTGCTTGTAGTAGTGTCTTAGGATGCTTTGTATTTCTGCGGTGTCTGTTGTAACTTCTCCTTTTTCATTTCTAATTGTATTGATTTGAGTCCTCTCCCTGTTTTCCTTGATGAGTCTGGCTAATGGTTTATCAATTTTGTTTATCTTTTCTAGAACCAGCTTTTAGATTTATTGATCTTTGCTAATGTTTTCTTTGTTTCTATTTCATTTATTTCTGCTCCGATCTTTATGATTTCT